TCTTCCAACATAACAACAATTATTCAAATCAATTGAACTTACAGGCCACTTTGGACACCCATAGAACTTAGAACCAATGTTATTCCCTTGCTTAACAGTGCACATCACAGCATCTAAGCCACAAGTGCACTTGATTCTTCCTTGATTAAGATGCCTTGATGTTGAAGATGACCCTAATGACCCTAATGAGCCACTCGAAACGTGCCTTCCTCCAGAAGAAAAAATTAAAGGAAATCAAAGAAAAAACCAAATTCAAAAGATTAGATCATTACTTTTTCGTTGACAAAAGACCAAGGAAAAAATAAAGAGGTTTACAGGGAAGAGAGAAGAAGAAAGCAGAGGAAAAGGGGGATTAAATAGCCATTTTTTTTAAACAAAAGGATTAAATTAATCCTAGTACTAATGGTCAGTGACACGTAGGATTCATAACAGGGTATTATAGGTAAAGTAACCTGCTAGGCCTGTTTAAAGCAAAGACATAGCAAAGTTCGGATTATTTTGAAATAATCAATAGTTAGGCTTATTTAAAGCAAATACGGTAAAGTTGGGATTATTTTTGACAATTTTTCCTATTTAATAAACGAATAATGTTTTGTTGAATGTGTATGAATGGAATATATTTACTAATTAGTTGGGAAATATTACTAATTAGGACTGCATATAAGCATTTAATATGCTTTCGTTTTTAATATTAAGTTGGGAATTTATCAATAGTTCACGAGTAAATCGGTGTAATAAATGTTGACTTAATGTCTATTCTTTCCACTTTTAGCTTCTTATATGCAATCCTAATGACATCATATAGCTTTTTCCTAGTATTAAATATACTCTAAGAAGCTTTGGCAAAAAAAAAAAAAAAAAAAAAATTGGCGCGAATTTTTTTTTAAGAAGGAGATGACATATGTCATTTTTGGTTTCACCTTTATTATAATATATAGTTATAGTTACAGATTTATGTGTTAAAGTCAAATTGATGCAATATAACGTAAATATTTTTTTTTTTATTTCGTACTATAAATTAGAGTCATGTGATTGTAATATATCAAAAAAATTGCAAATATATTAATATTAGTAATGAGAATCTTTAATTTCTATTACTCCGTATAATATATAAACTAAATATATGAGTATGTATAATATTATTGTCTGAAATAAGTTGTCAATTAAAAAGATATAAAATGGAAAATAAAGTTAGATTTTTTTTATTTTTTTTTTGAAATGTTTTTTGGAGGGAAAAAATGACACCAAGAAGTGACATGTCATTCATGATGTCTGTTTTAGTATTAAGTTATTGATTTTTGGATTACTACACGAATTTTCAAAAACACTAACATTTATGTGAGAAATTGATGTTTATTGTTAGCTGAGACGAACTCTACAAGAGGGGGGATGAATTGTAAGTGAGTTTCTAATGACTACTTTTGCGGAAATAAAACAGAATAATAAAGGAACTTGCAATGCACACAGGATTTTACGAGGAAACCTTCCAGGGCCCAATTGGAAGTAAAACCTCGACCCTCCAAGGGATTTCACACAAAACCAATTCACTATAATAAGGCAATACACCTAGTTAAAACCTATTAAACACAAACCTTTACTCACAAGTTCCAGACTGAACTTGCTACACAGTAGAACCTTATTCTACCCAACCTAAGTCCCTGACTTAGATTCACTCAGCAGTCTCGGAGTACTCACACACTCAGCTTCAACCTTGAAGCTTACAATCTGTATGCAATAGCTAAAAACTCACCCCAAGTACCAAAACAATACAAACCTTTCACTCTAATATGTGATTGGAAAGCTACACATGAAATCGAGACTAATATGACAAAGTTTAGACTTGGCAAACTCACACTTTTCGCACTCTTCAGATTTTTCACGCATAAACTCACAAGTTGTGCAAATCATGAATTCTATCTACTTTATATACAATTTGTAATCGTATGTAAAGTAGGGTTTTCAAACGATAGAAATTAATAAACTACCGTTTTCATAATCACAACACTTAAGTAAATCTTTTGGAAAACTTAGCAAGATATTATTTTAGAAAAGAATAATATTTTGTAAAACCCGGATTTTATAAGATAAAATCTCTTCAAAATCTTTTTATAAAATTAAAACTTATCTTTTATAAACTTTCCATATTTAAAATCTTGCCAAGCTTTGCCACGCCTCTAATCAATTTCATGCATAAACTAACCTTAACATATTTACAACAATCCTTAGAAGAATAAACTTAACAAAAGGCTTTTATTCTAAAGATGGATTGTTTCATCAATCGCCATAACGTAAGGATACTTGGGCTTCACGCAGACCAGGACTAAGTTACTGCTGTCTTCCATTCTCCAGCTCCTTGCTGGAACTCGCAGGCCAAGTTCTTATGGAACTTGTTGTCTTCAACGCAGTCCAAGCTAATCTTCTCAGCTTGCTGTCAAGCTTCTGTTAGGGAACTTCTCTTCGTGTTCCTATTAGGGATCACAGCTAGTTCCAGTGAGGAACTCTTCTTCCACTTTATTTTACTTTCCTATAGAACTCCTTGAGTCTTCCTAGATAGGTTACTCTTCCACTTCCAAAGTTAACTTCACCTGTTCTAATGAAACACTTAGAGAAATCGCATTAGTTGAAGTTTACTTTTATTCATCACCATCAAAACTCTTAAGCTTCAACATTTATGCATTCCATAATTTGAAAATTGTAGGAAAATTTGTATAGTTTGGTTCCACTTAAGAGTCGGGATCAATTTGATAATTAAAAAATAAAGGATGAGTATCTAGATTATTTTTTGGTTGGAAAGGATTTCTTGAATTTGAAGGATTTTTCTTTATTAAAATTGCTCTATCTTTTTAAGTACACAAAAGTTTTTTTTGTTACTCACATGAGCTTTTTAGATGCTTTTCATTACTTTTTTGTTGAAATATGGGGGCTTAATGTTACTCCAAAAATTCGTCACTTTCTTTGGACGTTATGCACCAATACGCTGCCGGTGCGAGACCTGTTCTATAGAAGGCATTTTTCAGAGTTGGCTATGTGCCCATGGTGCTCAGTGGAGGCCGAAACTGCTGGCCATGCTATCTTTGATTGTGTCCGTGTTCGTGAGCTCTAGGAGGACATGCAGTGGCTGTGATGTAATGACGAAATAGGAAGTCTTTAACTCCATGTGTTACCTGCTTAAAAATTGGAGGAACTTGGACCCCAAAACCAAGCAGTGAGGGGCTTTTCTTGCGTGGTTGCTATAGGGAGAGCCTTTTGCAAGGTATTTGAGGACAAGTAGAGTACTCCTAATAGTGTGCTCATGGATAGAGTGGCAAAATTGGTGGACAAGCAAGGCAAATTCGCCAACCAAATATATAGGAGGACAGGGTCTGCAGGAAGCAAGAGTCCGAAGACGTGGCAAGCTCCCCCAACTGGTGTGGTTAAACTCAATGCCAATGCTTCTCTGTCGGAGTTAGGCTGGGTTGGCTTGGGTGTAGACATGTAGTTGCAAGAAATCATGAGGGGCAAGTCTAATTTTTTGTTGCATCTAGAAGACTATGAGCTCACTAGGACCCAAAGATTGACGAGGCAAAAAAGGCTCGATCTTTCTTTTGTCAAAATGTTTATCTTGAAAAATCTAGAAAGCATTAGTATATTGATTATTCTTAAGAAAATATCTAATGTAAATATCCTAGTCCTAGAAAAATCTAGTAGCATGTAATACTAGAAAAAATGGCTTTTAATTATCCTAAGCTAAGTTATAGATCGAGTTCTAGAGCTAAAGAATGTACTCAAAGTCACCGAGATATTATAACTATAAATAACCACTTGATGTAAGATGATGAAGCATGTAAGAAAAGCATAATCAATCAATATAAATCAACTATTTCACAAAAGCATTTCATCTGGTACAATATCATCATCACATTATATTTCCTTCGCAAATATCAAGCAAGCTAAGCAACCCACTACTACTTCTACTTAATGTTTTCCAACATGTGGTATCAGAGCAAAATTTCCAAAGTCTCCAATACTTAGGTGTAGACATGTAGTTGCAAGGAATCATTAGGGGCAAGTCTTGTTTGCTTCATCTAGAAGACTAAGAGATTGTCGAGGCAAAAGCACTTGCTATGGCAGCAAGATTGGGCGGAAAATACAGGCTGAAGGATGTCATCTTCGAAACGGATGGCCTAACACTCTCGAGCAGGCTTGCAAAGGCTTGATCTTTCTTTCGAACCTTGATTTTGTTTTAGGAGACAATTTATCTCTTTGTACTTCTGACAGTTCTTTTAGACTTTTAGTTGGTCTCATGTTAAGAGGGAGGGTAATTGTGTTGCTCATCACTTAGCCAAACTAGTTCCCTTCGAAATTGAACAAGTGTGGGAAAACTTTTATCTACAATAAATTGCTTTGTATGTATTGATGAATAATGCTTGCTTAATTTAATACCAATATATGCTAGCTTGTTTTCCTTCAAAATATAAAGATAGAAAAAGGTTAATTGTTAAAAGGTATTTGTATTTGTACTTTTAAAATTATTAATATTGATGTAATAGTTGCAACGTTAATAATTTCAAAAACAATGTGAGCGGTAAGATTTGCTACTCTATAATAATTTCATTCTATTACACTGACAACATTTACTTTACATTATATGTCGCACCCCCTTGTAGGTTCAAATACCTCCTACTAGCTTGTTTATAATTTGTAATGTCCTTGTGGCTCATTCGATGGAAAAACCACGTGATAGTCTAAATTGTTATTCAATTATTTTCAAAGGCAACAAATGAACAAACTCATGTCGTCACTTTTTTTTTTTTAATCTCTCAACAGAGATAAATAACTACTATACGAGTGCAAAAACACAATTAACCAAGGATAGGCACATCCTAGAATGTAAATGTCCATTATCTTCTTTTGTACACTTTAGTACTTTACCCTCGGTGGTACCCATAACTATATATTTGGTGCTTAATGGTTCATTTTATAATCCTCCGTAACTCCCAAACCCCCCCCCCCCCCCCCAACTCCCTCGCTTTTCTATCACTTACCACTCACTGCCATTTCTTCCGGCCTGCCGTTGCCGTTGCCGTTGCCGCTGCCTTCTCTCTCTTCGGGGCGATTTTATCGTCATCTCTATGTCCTTATCTAATGCTCTAACTTTGAGCAATTTAATCTTTCAGAATCAACATTTCTGTCAATTGCAAACCACTTTTTCTTCAGAGGTAATTTTTTTTATCAATTTAATACTTTGCAATTTCACATTTGAATTTCTCGTTTTATAATTTTGTTGAATTTACTTCATTGCGAATTTTGAATTTACCTGTATTTTTCAAATTTTGGGAAGAAATTGTTCGTATTTGCTTATTCCTCCCTACATCGTTTGATTCATTGATGTTGGTTAGTTAAATTAATTGATTGATGACATCAGTTATTTTTTATTGGAATATGGACTTTCTTGCCTTTACATAATTACATGAGCTTAGCTATGTTCAGAATGTATAAATCATAAATAGTTAGAATGATATTTGGGCTCAATTTTGGTTTTTGATTATGAAAGATTAAATCAAATTAGCTGACTAAATTATCAGTATTTTTATTTTGATAGCTGATAATTGTTAGTCCAATTGTCTGGCATTGCATTTCGATTATTGAAGGCTGATTGTTTGTGTTCGACCCTTCATATCGCCTATAGCAACCGCCTTTTAGAGACGTCGGGGTATTGTTGACGTTGATGTGTATGCATAACAAGATTATAAGGTTGAGAAGATGTTGTGAGTCATAAATAAAGAATTTTCTGTTGTTGAGCATTAGTATAGATGTGACAATTTTAATTGTGTTGTTGCTCAATTGGATTGCAATGCAAACTATCAACATGTTGCCTTACAACTAATGAACAAGTCTAGTAGTAGATTAAGATAAAAAAGAACAAAAAAAAAAGGGAAAGAAACAAGTGTAGGTGAGCTGAAAGGCAGAAACAAGCTAGAGTGTTTGCCCTACTTGATTTACCTAGTTCATGTAGTATAGCGTCCTGATTCTGTAGAAAGAATCATTTGGCTGTTTGTCGAAGGATTGCTGAAAAATGCAGTTAGTAGAGGTTAGTGAAATCTGTTTTGTTAGTTTGCTGGTAAATTTCATTGAATTGATATTTAAGGACATGTAGGCGTGATCCGGAACATTAGCCCATTAGGTGGTGTAACTTTAAGGGAAATAGTTGATGCATTTAACATTTGATCTTAGGGTTGTATGTCTGGAGAGGTGAGACTGAATTATCAGAAACTAATTTACCAACCATGAAGCTTTCTGGATGCTATCTTGCTTCATCTTGGCGCTCCTTTGTCAAGTTCATTCTAGGATTGTCTTTTGATGCAATGTAGGATATAACATGGTTGGTCACTTGGTTTGCCATTTTCTTCCTTCGATCAGTTTAAGTCTCGCCTAGCCTTCATTGTTCTTATATGTTTGAGTTGTCTCAATCCAAGGGTACTGCAAAGCTTTTCAATTGAGGGATCAAATGTTGAAGTTAAGCCAAGGAGGAGAATACCTATGGGTCTTCTCGCTTTATGTTTTTTGTAAGCCTTTTTTTCTTACAATGCTTGATTATCCTCATCTAACATCGTGATATAAAGGTACATCTAGGTTTCATGTCAAACACTAGGTTGCTAGCTTCAACCGAATAATTAATTTTAATTTCTCCCCTTATTTCTTCCAGTGTTAGCAATGATTGATTAGGCTTGAGCATAATGCACATAGTGCTTGCTTCAAATTAAAACTAAATATATATGGCAATCATTTTAAAAGAGTATATTAAAAAGTAAGGACGTTTTAGGTGTCAGGTGGACACTATACCTTTATAGTGTTGGCTTATAGAGTAGAGAAGTGAAGCTTTATATATTACAATGGAATGCAGACACTTTAAAATGAAAGGAGGGTGATAATGGTCTCACCACTTCCGAGGATGAAAATGCACTCGTGCAAAAGCCTTTTCGCACGATTTAAACTTCTGAAAGATTAGTTTAACATTTATTGATTTTTCTTTGGTTCTAAGGATCTTCCATATGTATGTAAGTGCTTGTGGTAGTGTATTTTTTTTTTATTAATTATCTCTTTTATTTAAAATGGCGTAAGTCCTGATCTAGTATTACAGGAAAAAAGTATAAACTAGTTGAGCTAATCATGAATATATTCAAATACTTGCCAGCTGAGACCAAATTTGCTATCCTCCAATAGTCTAAAACAAAAACTGTGTTGGGATCTTAACTAGTAAGTTTAATTTATACTGGGACTAAATGCCTAAGGTGATTGGTGCATGCTGTGCATTTAATCATCTTGAATTATACACCAACTCCAAGTAACAAATTTTATCCCTTAGAAGAGAAACCTTTTACATTCTAGTATTCTACTAACAATACAGTGGTTGTGAGGTTTTTGAGAGGTTTTTTTGGTTTTGTTTATTTCCCAGAAAATGGGAAAGTAGTATCAGGATAAATGGTATGTTGGCAGGCCTGAATTGTAGTTTTTTCATCTTTATTACCAGCTGGAGTATGATAGCTGCTGAATTCTTTGCTTTGAGCACCCTAGCTAATGGATAAATTTTAGAATCAGAAAGTGTTCACTTGAGCAACCTAGCAAATGGTTTAATTTATTGTGTAAGCTTGTATTAATGCTTCTGCTGTCACCTTGTAGAATGTCTTGGACAATGTGCTGCTTTTATTCACCCTTTTTAGGAGAGTCATTTCTTCCGTGTTTATTTTCCAATCGAACTGAAAAAGAAAACCTTATGTATTTAACAGCTTTTAGTTTAACTTTCTCTAGCTAAATCGCTTAGCTGTGTTGCTATTCAGTCAAGTTAAACCTTTATTATTCCAATACTGGTTTTCGTTTGTGATTCTGAACTAAATTTCTATTTCCCATGTGATATTTAGGGTTTGATGTGACTGTGTGAGGAAAGCAACAAATGACTGCTCGAACAAGTGTGCTCTGTGGTCAGGAGTCGAAAGAACAGCACCATTTTTCTTTGAAACTGCAGAGCCAGAAAACATCCTGTTTAAAATGCCACAAGGTGGTGATTTATTGGTTTGTAGTAACTGGGACTGTCCAATAGTCGTTCATGAGAGCTGTATGCTTTCTGTTGCTCGCTTTGATGACTCAGGGGGCTTTTATTGCCCATATTGTTTATATAAGGAATCCCTTGTTGAATGTCACCAAGCCAAGGAAAAGGTGTTATTGGCCAATAAAGCTCTTATCAATTTTCTAGATACAAGGACTAGGATTGATGCTGAGCCTACAAAAAATTCAAGAAGTTTGAAGAGGAAAAAACCAGATGCACCATTGATTTTTAAGAACAAGGATGGTGCTATGGTAGAATGTAATGAAGTTCATCAGCCTATGCAGTTGGGAGGTGGTCATCTAGATAATAGTCAGTTTCTTGAGACACTTTCTGGTAATCAACAGGAATCAAGGCCAACAAGAGGTAACTGTATAGGAAAGGGGTCCCCTGCCAAAAATGATGAAAAATTAGACAACAAAAGTAATGATATTGGAGACTCTGGAATTACAGACAAATCACAAGTAAAATCATCAAAAAGTTCTGTCCTTCCTACAAAGGAGTATATTATGTTAGTGACACAAAATCCAACCAATGAGCATGGACAAACTGCAAAGACAGTGTTAGGGAGTTTAGAAAAAGGGGTAGAAAGGGAGCAGTGGCAGACAGATCCTCAAGAAACTCCTTGGTGCATGACTAACAGCACATTGGAGGTAAATGAAGAGCCTTGCAAGGGAAACGATTCTGCATTGCAAGATGGCTGTTATGTGGAAACTCAAGTTTTAGACACTTTTGATCGACCTGGTGAAACTAGAGAAGGTTTTAGCATGACCCATGAAGAGTGTAGAAACACAACTGATGTCCATCCTATGAGGAAGGAGAGAAATTCATTTCCGCAGAGAGGATTAGGTAAATCAACGATAAAGCATCTAGAAATTGAACAGACTATGGAAATATATCATGATATAAGGGATGACAATGCTATTGTGATAACTGGAAAACCTGATGGGATATGTGATTGTGCATATAAAGATGATGACCCTGTTCTAAGACAAAGGATAATAAATTCAGGGAATAACAGTCAAGATGCTGGAGTAGGGAAATATCAGTCTCAAAGGGCTGATGAAGAGCGAACAAACCTGAAATCACCCATTAGTCCTGCCTGTTATACAAAGAAGGATAACGACACAGTGATACATGAAAAGTCAGGAAATTCAAATAAAAAAATTGAAGAAACTTCAAAGCCAGTGGATCAATATAACAATGGACAAGTAGAAAAGGTGCAGACACATGAAGAGTCTCAAAAAGATTGCTATGGAAGTGCAGGGGAAATCAAAATTCAAGTAAAAGCTCTACAAGATGATGTGTATACTACAAGAGAAAACAATGCAGCAGTGACACATGAATTAGGAATTTTGGCAAGCAAGCATTCGGAAACTAAAGACTCATTAGAGAAGAATCATGACAGAGTGGCAAAGATGGAGCAGCCACAGACAAAACGTCGAAGCACCAGGAATAATGACAAAAAAGAGATGGCTGAAGAATCTGATGTAGAAAATTGCAGTTCATCCCACTGTGGAATGACCAATGATGGGAAAACAAGAGTAAATTCACAAAATAACTCTCCCCAAATTACAAGAAATGGAAGTTTATCTGTGTCAGCTGAAGAATTTGGCTCTGCAGACGAGTCATCTAATACTGAGTACCTGGAGCGAGGAAGTTATGCTGTGCCAAAAAGGAAAATGCAAAAGAACTTGAAAAATGATATACAGCATGGAAAATTTTCTGGAATATCTAAAAATGAAGGTGAATCAAGACACAAAGTGGAATCCATAAAACAAATGTGAGTTATGTGAGATGACTTGGTCTATTACTTTTAGCTTTTATTAACTCTACCCAAGTTATTTTCGACTCTTTTATTTCAGACTATAGAGTATTAACTTGATTTCGATGCAATACAACTATTTAAAGCATTATATATTGGAGAATTAAGAGCACATTATATTGTGAATGAAGCTCTTACCTAATAGCTAATAAACGTTTAGTTTCACCATTAAATCATTGCTATAAACTTAAGGTTTTGCAGTTTATTTCCAGCCAGCGAACAACTACTTTGCCTGCTGCGAGACGTTGGAAGTTACCATGGACAGCAGAAGAAGTAGAAATGCTGAAGGTACGGGTCTCGTTAAACTAAGTGCTAAGATAGAGGTTATTTGTGAAAAACTAAGAAAGCACTTTAACGCATGTCCTATCTTTTGATCCGACTGAGCTCATCATACGATTTTAAGTCTTTATTTGATCATTTGTACAAGGAAATTGAATTCTTGTATATTCCACATCGTTAGTAGAATTAGTAAAATTAGTTTATCTAACAGAACAATGTAATATATGTCTACCCTTGTTTGCAAGCCTGCTTAATGTAGGATTTTAACAATCTGGTGCCTTCAGTTTTTGTATGTATTTTTGAAGAAATTGATTTACTTGTATGCAAGCGTCCACACCAGTAATTAGGAAGTTCACAATATATACAGAAGGATTTCTTCTTGAGAATATTTGGGCTGATGATAAAAGTGTTGCTACAATTGCATGATAGAAGTTTGACTTTGGACGAAAGTGCTTTGACCACTAAGATTTATCTAGCTTTAGATCCTTCACATATTTTAGGTCTTGGAATTTGGTAGAAGTTGAAGTAAAGGGCTGAAAGGTATGAACATATAAACAGAAGACGTGAATAGATCACAGAATAAAAAGCATGTTATAAACATATTTATTTTCTTTTTTTTTTTGTAACATATTTTTTTTACTGTATTACTGCAGGAAGGTGTGCAGAAATTTTCATTGGCAACTAATAAGAATATCTCATGGATAAAAATTTTGGAATTTGGACGACATATCTTTGATGGGACGCGTGTTCCAACTGATCTTAAAGACAAGTGGAAGAAGATAAAGGGTGAAGGGTATGCAAATACTGATGCAAAATGAAATCAAAGTAGCACAACTACTTACTATACGGGTCAGACATTTTAGTTTTACGTTGTCACTGCATTTACATGCTAACTATTTGGTTGTAGAAATTTAGGTTGTCAAGAAAACAGGTTGGGGAGAGTGAGGGATAGCTCAAGTAGTTAGAATTCCCCTCCCAGTTCCAGGTGATCCTGGGATCGATTCTCATCACTCGCCCTTGTGGCTCTCCTAACACCAAAAAAAAAAAAAAAAAAAAAAAAATACAGGTTGGTATTTTTTCATCTATGAGTAAGATGGAATAGGATATGTATATGCTATGCTCTCAAGAATACACGAGACTTTAAAATTTTGAATTTTTGCTTATTGCTCTTCAATGCTTAAGCGTTGCAACATGTCTATTTTACACCCGGGTACATCATATATATAAGTTGCACCAATCTTTAGTGAGAATTTACCCTACATTTTTACTCCATCTTGCTCCTTGAGGGTTCTTTCTCTTAGGTATTAAAAAATACTCGTAGTAGGAGCAACAATGTTAGAATATCACTAAAGTGTATCCAATTATGTTTCTTTCTTTTTATCAGATTATAATGGAATAACAATTGATCCAAGGGTATGTGCATGACTACCTAGATCTCAGAAAGCCTTTTGGAATTTGCACCGACTTCTTATGATCAAGTTTTTCATCTCAAAATTGTTTTCGCAGCAGGATTATTATTCTTTGTTTTAGTGCAAACAACTAGTATAGTACTCATGCTATGCGTGTTTTACAAATCTTAATACTATACAAGCATAACACGTTGCCAATCAAATTATTTTCTTACATAATACGAAAAAAAAAAAAAACGCTTTTCTTTCTCTAAAAAAACCCATCCTTATCCCCCACTGCTTTCCCCCTTTTCTCAACTACAGCTTGCCGGCGATCGGCGCTCAGCTCGCCGGCGATCGGCGCTCCTCTCCTTGCCATCGCCGGCGAGTGCTATACTTTAGCTTTCCTTCAGTTTGCTTTTTTAGGTGTTTAAGGGTAAAGAAATCAGGGGTCAGAGTTGAGCAGTTTGAAGCCTTCAAGTTCATCGGTGGTCTTTGAGTTTGGTAGGTCGTTAAGTGTTGTGGAATTCAATTACCCAACAAATCAAGAAGCCAAGGCTATTCTTAACGCAGCCGTCGAAAGGAATTTCGTTAATTGTTTCGCGACGGTAAAGCTGAAGTTAAGTGTAGGGTTTTCCCCCTTAATCCAAGGTTTGTTCAGAGGATGGTCTTCTTGCGTTGGTCTTGACGACAGGTTGTGTTTGTTTCTGCCGGTGAGGTAGTTTTTGGGTAATCTCTGCTTTTTTGTAGTCTCTTGTGTTGCTTTGTGAGTTGTTCATGTTTAATTGTTTAGCCTAGGTTTATTTATGTTATCGCTTATTTCACCTGTTTTGTTTTGTTGTTCGTTTTTTGTCTGTGTTCTGGTTTGAGATTCTAGTTTTTAATAATCCCCTTGCTCTGTTTTGTTATGAGTCGGATTTCCTAAGGGTAGTTCTATGTTCGGAGACTTTCGAAGTGGTGGTGTTGTTTTTGGAGTTTGATCTGTTGGGTTTACCCTTAAATGTAGAGGAGGTAAGGTTCAGCAGTACCTGGGTTGTTGGGTTGGTCGTCCTCTTCGTTACCTTTTCGGGGTGGGACTGTGTTAAGGGGAGTTTTCCCATTGGATGGGTGACTTCCCTCATTAGTACTTTGAGTGATTTCCTCTGTGTTGTTTTACAGAGGGTGGTGTTATTTGTGCAAGTGAAAGGTTTTCCCTGCAATGTTGCAGAGAGAAGGTGGTTATGAGGGGAGAGGTTTGATTGTTATTCCTGTTGCGTCTTGGTTGGGGATGATTTGGGTACTCATTCAGTTACTATCATCTCATTGTTGGTGTTAGTGATAACAAAGTCAGTCATCGCTGTTAACAAAGTCCTCCATTTTCTTGCATTCTCTATGGGTAGAATTGCAGGAAAGGAACTTGCATTTTGGTGTAAAGTTCCTGATGACAGGATCCTTAAAACATACAACTCTCTTGCTTTGGCTTCCAGACTCTTGGGAGGTGGCTATGCTTTTCGTCCCCAGGAGTAAAGTCGTGTCACGGGTCTTGTTTTCAACAACAGGATGCTTTCAACTTTCGGGTGTTTTGTGTCTACACAACTTCCATCGCAAATTTGCTTCAATGTCATTGCAAGTTACGGTTCCCTTCACTAGTATTACTTTGCACACTTTGTCCTTCCTGAAGGTTTTGGTTCAGTTGGCAACTCTTGCTCCTGAAGGTTTTGGTTCAGTTGGCAACTCTTGCTCCGGAACAAGGTTTTTGGTAACAACGTTTTTGTTGTCCAGACTCCAAGGTAAATGGTAGGATGCAAGGCTACTCTGGTTTAGTCATTCACTTCGTGTTTCCTCTTTTGGTAAGTGGCATACCCCGTATGTGGGTTTGTTTGGGTGTGTCGGCTCAGCTTCGATACAGAAGGTTTTTCTTTTGGTGTTTTTGTATTTCGCTAGGTGTGTTTGGTTGTTTTTAGTTTCTTTTTTTAGCTCCGTTAGGTTGTAATTTGTTCTTTATTTATAAAGTTCCTCTTTGTAAAAAAAAAATAAAAAAAATACAAGCAGAACACACAAAGCTCTTTAGAAAACTTGTTGAATTGAAGAAGCTGATGTAAACGTTCTTGTCACATAATTTAGTTCGGCTGACGTATGTATGTTCTAATGCCTGGCCTATCTAAATCAACATAGCTGGGGAGAGAGAGTTTCACATCCAACTCATTCATTCATAAAACATTGATACTGGTCACTGTCCTTACTAATAAGGTCACATTAATGAGAAAGCAAACAAGATGTATTAGAACATCTATATTCAAGGTGGAAACCCCCAACACGGTTTCTCACTCCCAAGGTACGTGTAGTTGATTGATTTGACTTTGTGATGTCAAGGTTACAAAATGAAAACCCCATAAACTACGCGGAGTCTTGCTTGACATACAACAATCATATAGTTGGTGAGCTTAGTTATCAAAAATAGTCGGGCATATAAGAAGGTTGCGTCTCATGTTCCATGGTTAGCATTAGGAATGACTCAAGACAAAGTATACTTACTAGTATGGGACAATATCAGCCACTATTTAGATCTGAAATACTGAAACTAGTGAACAGGGTTGGATTATTATCTTCTTTTTTTTTTTTTTTTTTTTTTTCTCTAACCCAAGATATTTATTATGGTATGGCATTAAACAAAATTTTGTGCCTACAGAAGCCAAAATGTCTCTACAATACCATTTCTCATATCCTCTCGTCCAATTTATAGCACTACCGCTGCCCATCGGCACAAAGATCATAATATTTACATACTCAAAGATTGAAGCAAGAGGTAGGAGAGGCCTTGCAGTGGGATACTTAGAGGTACTTTTGCTTGGTATATGCACCATTTTTAGATTACTGTTCCACTCGGAATCAAGGCATCCTTGATTACTGTGACAATACCACTCTTGATGAAATATCCGTCTGTTTCTCTTGCTGCTTCTTGTACATTGTCACTGTTAATAATCTGCAATAACAGGAAGGTCGAATTAACTCCAACTTTTGACAGATATTTCATATTAGTGCCAAATGACAAATGTAAAAGAATGGTGACCTAGGATGCAAAATAAAAGAATAGCTTCTTAGACTATTAAAAATTATACTATATTTGGCATAACTTTGTTCTATATTGTCAAATATGGACAATTTGGCATCATAAAGTTTAAAATGTTTGGATGTAATCTTAGTTGTATAGCTTGATCTCTCAGTTGTGTAAAATTAGAAGTTAAAATCTGTAAGATACGTGCAAGCTAAAATGTAATGTAATCAAACACATGTACAGATGTACAAATGAGAGTTTTTACTGAGCTTCTAACCTTAACATTGTCTCCAATCCGCGCATTCTTGTCAATAATAGCTCTTTTTATATGGGTATTCTGCCCAATGCCAATAGGTACACTACCCTTACCAGCTAGGAGTTTCCTATCAGCATCAGTCTGCATCATTAAATAACATTAACAAACCACTGAAAGTGTGATAAAAGCAGAGCAACTAGCTTGAACCATTTGCTGAGTTAAGTTTGGTCCATATCCAAACAACAAAATACTAAATATTATTTTCAATTAGTATGGAGTACAACTTTTGCTACCAAAAATACTAAGGCCAGCGGCCCAGAGTCATGAGCATCTGTACACATACCTCATAATAATCAGCACCCATTAGCAGCGTATCCTCAATAATTGCACCTTCCGAAATGCAAGATCGAAGACCAATAACAGAATGATGAATCTTGCAGTTCTGTAGAGGAAGAAATTCAATTTAGGATAAAAACACAAGTTCCATTTAGAAAGTATTAAGCATATCTACAAGTGTAGTATACATTAGGGAAAAAAAAAACATCACAAGCGGCAACAGTAAGAAGCTAGTAAGTATTGAACACAATGTTTATTGCAACACAGTTTCCTTGGTGCTTGCGAAATTCTTACCTTAATCACACAGCCTTCACCAATGACACTGTCAGTGATATCGGCGTCAAGCATCTTTGAAGGAGGCAAATACCGAGGTTGTGTATAAATTGGAGATGAACGATCATAGAAGCTTCAGAAAGAACCACAACATGATTGGTGCTTCAGAATAGAGCATAAATCATACAAAATCACAGTAGTAAAATTGATAAAGCATCACATATGCTCCATGCATTATGATTACCTGAAATCAGGCACCGGCTTTTTGGTGATACCCAAGTTGGCATTGTAAAAGGCCTCGATTGTACCAATATCTTCCCAGTAACCATCGTACAAGTAAGCTTGAACCTATACAGTATAAGCAAAAGGTGAGCAGAAGAAACCACACTGAAAACATATGAGAGAGAAGCGAAACATACTCTTAGCCCTATGGAAGTCGCGCCTGGGATAACTTCACTTCCAAAATCATTAGCATCAGGAAATTTATCACGAAGCAAGTTTAGCATCACATCTTTGCTGATAACATAAATACCCATGCTAGCTATGAATGGCAATTCTTTTGCCCTTTCATCATCTAGACCCAGGATTGTGGTATCAACCTACAGGTGATCAGAGACAGAGTGGCTAGAGAATTCTTTCAGAGGTATAAAAGGTAATCAGCATTGTAAATAATCATTTTGTTTCTATGAATTCTACCTTCATAGCTTGCAATTGTTCTCCTTTCGGTTTCTCAGCAAACTCTATTATTCTTCCTTCTTCGTCAATTTTCATCAATCCAAATGCAGTAGCACGCTTTTCATCCATCGGCAGTGCAGCAACAGTAATGTCTGCATCAGTCTCTCTGTGAGCTTGGATAAATCTTTCATAATCCATTCGATACAAATGGTCACCAGCTAGAATCAAGAACTCCAGAACATTGTGCTCTTCGAATAGCCACAAGTATTGCCTAACAGCATCAGCTGTACCCTGCAATCATAACATTATAGATTGTTGATTCACAGAAGAACATGGAATCAAATAACTAAGCATTTTGGCATATAAACAAGATATGGTAGGGACAAAGAAGCTAGGAAGATCATAATCACTAGCACACCTGAAACCAGTTTGGATTTTCTGGACTTTGCTGAGCAGCAAGAACTTCTACAAACCCTTCATTCTTGTAGCCTCCCATATTACTAGCATATGCCCGGGAAAGATGACGGTTGAGAGATGCAGAATTGAATTGGGTAAGAACATATATTTTGGAAATGTTACTGTTCAAACAGTTGCTCACTGGGATGTCAATTAGCCTATAATTAGCACCAAGGGGCACTGCAGGCTTTGCTCTCTTCTTCGTAAGCGGGTAGAGACGTGTGCCAGCACCACCTCCAAGTATAATACCAAGAACACTCTGCATCACAATTTACATAAAATATTAATTCATAATCCAATGCAGTACAAACTTTCTTATTCATACACACATTCAACTGATGAGGTTGTTCTATGAATACATTCACCACAAATAACGCCTCAAGATTCAAAAGATCCTCTGGTTACAAGCATCAACATCCAAAACATTTCGAGATTCAATCAATTATCTAGCCTACGCTACTTTAAATTTTTGTGCATAGGCTCTAATATGACGGAATTTAAACCCACGTAATGAAATTGGCCCCACGTTTTCAGCAACTAAACTAGCTAACATCCACTGATCCATCTCTAGCCTTTGTGGCCCTTACACGCAAAAAGGAAAACCTTTGATCAGGGGACAAGGGCCAGAAAACTTTACATTATTCTCACTTTTGTATATGAATTGAATTGAAGTAATACTTCTTACCCAAAAAAACACTCCAAATTGTATTCCAATAGCCCAAGTGGTTGCCTAAATTAGCGATAATTAAAGGCGAATATAGAGTAAAATATTACTCCTACAGCCTACAAACCTCCAAAGAAAGAATAGCCTGTTAAGTATGCTTTCCTTTACTTCCATTTCTAAAGATTAAAAATTTAATTTTTTTTTAAAAAAGAAAATGATACATACAACCCTTACGGATTATGCATTGTCAAAGGTACATTAACCCGTGATTTTGTCATACATTCTTAAATTAATTCGGACATAAAATATAATGTATCCATACCCAAAATAACACTTTTCGAGCACCAAAATAATGCACCGGAGAAGATGCATTGGGATTCAACAACAATTAAAATCTATTTCAAACATTCAAATATATGAGAGAATCAAGATAACACTTGCCGTAACAAATTGGTAATCTCAAATTTTAATTTTTTTTTCTTCTTCTCAATTTTCAATTTACATTATCACATAATAAATTATTTTCCCAAATTAGAATATTATTATTTGATCCATTTTCTAATTTTGAATTTTATTGTAGATATCGTCCTATCACATTTTTATCAATAAACTACTAATTAAAAAGCAGGAATTCGAAATTGTTGGTTCAATTTAACAATTTAGAAATAAAATCAAACGAACAAATCAAAAACAATGTTACAAAAATCAAAATCAATCAAAAAAACTCACGCGGCTAGCTTCAGGATCAAGACAAGTCTGCGAATTCTGAGAATCAGAAACAGCCTTAGGAGAGGCAACAATTGGAGCTCGTTTAGCGTCGTAAGAGAATCGGCAATGGCGACGAGACGACGACGAAAGCGTCGGTAAAAACTTATCGCCGGAAACAGAGGAAGACGACGAAAATGCAAGATGGGTAGTTTTGGATGGAACAGTTATCGCCCCAATGAGCGCCATAGCCGCCATTGTTGTTGGGTGAGGTGCTAAAAATGGGTGTCAGCACAGAGAGAGTGAGTGGTAGTAGGGGTAGAGAGAGAAACTAGAGAGAGAAAGAAAGAGAGAGATTTGGAAATGTGGGATTTCGACCGTTCAAAGTATATATAAATAAAATAAAATAAAATAAATTTGGTTATCTTTGATTATTATTTGCCCTTTGATTTTCATGAATATTACGATGATAATTGTATTTTTTTGGAGTTTTGGGTCTTGGTATTTGTGATTTTTGATTGGGTATGGACGTATGGTATATGACTAATATCATCCTCGTGTTTGCACCGGATCTTGTCTATTATTCCTTTTATGGAAGTACTCGAGTTACATAGGATTTGTTATCTTCGCCTTATTTTATAAACTTTAGATAAGGTATTTATCTTGGTAAAAGCTAACGAACATTCTGAGGGTGATGGGTAAGATGTCTAAAAGTAGAAATATTAAAATACAATAAACTGTAAATATACATATCGACGTGTGATTTTAGTATGCACACATTGATGCCATATCAGAAAATATTTTATATGTACATACGTATATGCATATATGCATATATGCATATCATTGGTTACAATATTGATAAGAGCTAGTATTTGGGCTCGTGCGTCATACTAATATTATTAGTAAAGTCGAAAACAAAAAAAATGTTTGTATATTATTTGTTTTTTAATTTATGTTTTTCTCTTGAGAAACATTGATTTATAAAGAAGAGGAAGGGTACTAAGTCAAAGGATATGAAGAAACCTGGTAAATAGGTCGTTTAGGTCAGATTTGAGCCGGATCATTTCGAGCCAGGTCGATTTCGAGTCAACAAATATTCGTGTGGAGTCAATTTCGGGTCAACAAATATGATTATTGTTGATTGATACTTAAAACGCTAAAATTCTTTCTTAGTCTAAAGATTATCTATTTATTTGTTATGATTTTTTTTGTTTTCAATTCTTTTAGACTTTATAATAAGGAAAATTCTACAAGGTGGCCTCATGAATTTAACTTTTCTACGTGGAAGACGAACTTTTTTCCAACTCTCTTCAATGGCACCAAGGTTTAGAAAAATTGACCATAGTGGCCTTTTTTAGGTTTATGACTAACCTTTTTAGTTAAAATGATTAACCTTTGATTTTTTTTATTAAAAAATTATTTAAACTATATTTTAAATAATAAATTTAAAAAAATAGAAAAAAGTAAAAAAAAAAAACAAAAACAAAAACAAAAAATTCCCAAAAATTCCCAGCCCCAGCAGCCCCTCCCCTTTCAGCGTCCACCAGCCACCTCTCCCCCACCCCCACCAACGCCAGCGCCCAGCTCCACCTTCGCCGGCCGGCCTTCGATCCCCCACCTCCACCTCCTCTCTTTCTCCCAATCTCAAACCTAACCACCCACATTCCCCGACCACCCCCACCCCTCTGCAATACCGCCTACTCATTTTTCCAGTTTTAGACCTCCCCCTGAAAGGAATGGTATCCTTCCAACAAGTGTATTCTTCCGATAGAGGGTTCAGAATTATTAAGGAGCTAATTCTTCAGTAAGGTCAAGTGATCGGAATGCCTAGGTGGAGGCCGCTTCCGATCAGTAATATCAATGTGCAATTGATGTTACAGCTTAATCTTAACTGAACCCTTCGGGTCGAACCCAATCGAATCACCGATCCGAGACGACGAAATAATCCGAAAGGATTAATGAGTCGACAGAGTTTTACGAATACAGACGTCGAAAATCGAGCCTAGGGCGTCGAGACCGAACGCCCCAAAATCACAAGCAACAAGTATGAGCGTAGCCGTAGCTAGGCTAGGCTAGCTCATCGCAAGCCTAGGCGCACCATGTGTGTGCTAGGCGCACCATGGTGTGCTAGGTACTATCGCAGCCTACGCGTGCCCTAGCAGCCCATCGCAAGCTAGCAGCATGCTAGCATGGGTGCCTGGGTGCGCATAGCAGCTATCGCAAGCCCCACAAGCACCAGGCAGCCCATCGCAGCTAGCAGCGTGCTAGCCTGGGTGCGCATGGGGACTATCGCAGCCCTATCGCACCAAGCACAGCACCCATGTGCATGTGCGTAAGTGTGAGCACCATCGCAACCCCCTAGCACCACGCACAACACCATCGCAGTGCTAGGCACATGCGTGTGTGCGTGTGCGTTTGCACCATAGCACAGCAAGCTGGCAGGCAGCGCTGGCCTTGCGTGAGTGCTAGGCACCATCGCAGGCCACGTACCAAGCACAGCGCTAGTGCGTGCTGGCCTGGATGCCCATAGCTGTGCGAGCATGGGCGAGTGGTGCTGGCGTGCTAGGTGCCATGCGTTTGCTGGTCATGGCTATGCTAGTTGTGCGAGAATCACGCATGCATGTGCGTGTGCCTGCGATAGCAAGGCAGCAGCACCACACATGCGTGTGCGTGTGCCTGCGATAGCATGGCCGCAGCGCCCAGCGCCCAGCACAAGGTGTGGCTTGCTAGCAGCACGCAAGTGCTGGGCTGGGTGATGCGTGGTGTGCCAGCCAGGCATGCTAGGTGGCTGTGCGTGCTGGCAGCACCAGGTGGCAGCCAGCCTAGCTGCCTTGTAAGTGGCGGTTTAAGGATAAGTGGGGACCAAAGCCACCAAGCTTCCCTTGGGATTTTGAGAATACAACGTTGAGTGGAATTAAAAAGGCAACTCTAAGAAAAGAGTAAACCTTTGATTCGTAAAACTCATAGTTATTTTGTCCGGGTCTTGACTAACCTTCAAGACTTAGGACGCTCGGGTCGGGTCGAGGGTACGATCCGTCAGAGATCTCGTCTTTTCGGGATTTTGAAGTAAGAGCTCTTTGGGAGCGAAGCACGCGTCAAAGGTATAATTCTTGTTCTTAATCTTGTTTGATTAAGTTTATTATGCTTGTTAATTGCTTTAATTAAGGGGCGGGTCTTGGTGGGTTTCCTTCCGCGTAGTGTCGAGTCACTACGAAACCCTACAGCGGTATCGGAGCCACGCTCCTTTTAATTTTTGCAATTATTGTTTAATTAAGGTGTTTTAAAGCACTTCGATCGGATCGAGGAATCAAAGCACTTTGATCGGATCGAGGAATCGGACCTTGTTAGACATGGTTCGATCAATGATGGGTCTTAGTGAACTCCCTATCTCTTTCTGGGGACATGCGCTACAATCAACAGTGATTAGGGGATTTTTCCCCACCAATCACCATCTGACAAGTGGACCAATCAGGTTCCGCCATGTGTCCGTCACATGGGCAAATAGGAGCCTGCCACGTGTCAAGCAATGATCCGTCCACTATGGACCAATTACGACATGACACGTGTCCTTCCCATGACACCTGGGATAACCGGTCACAAGGCCCAACTTCAGAGGGAAGCCCAATCAGCCCAAGGTTAACCTAAACCTAGGTTGGCACGTTTCCCGAGGTTATAAATACCTCCCTTAATCCTCATTAAGGGAGATTACGCAAAAAACGCAGATTACACACATTAAACACTCTCACCTAGAGAGACCCAATCACTTTAATTTCCGCATTAATTACTCCTTAATCAAGTACTAACTTGACCGTCGGAGGTGGATCTCCAATCATCCAGAGCATGGTTTGTTTTGCAGGTACAGGCGTCCGGTCCCAGTCTCGGAATTGTAACTCTCCCGCAGGACATCAGAAAACCCCGAAACATCTTGGCGCCGTCTGTGGGGAGAGTACTTCTGAGATGGCATCCACGTTTGTACCGGCTCCTGAAGAGAGACGTCCCCTGGACGACCCTCTAGTTCAGTCGGACCACGATACTGAGAATGAATTTGAAGTTGAAGCTCACACAGCTTCAGACGGGACCCTAAGGGCCCAACGTACCCGTCATACCGAAAGGAGGGAACGGGAACATCTTCAAATTGGAAGCGAGCCAGCAGGCGCACCGCCTGTTCGGCAGCAGCCGACTGATGGGTCTGCTCCCATCACAAGGAACGAACTCATGACCTTCATGAGGGACTTCAAGGGAGAAATTCAAGAGTTGATCAACAAGAAGCCGCCTGCTCTGGACAAGGAGCAGTCGGCTAAGAAACCCTCCGCTTCACGGAAGAGGAAGCCAGTTCAAGGGCGAGAGGCGACCCCTCATCCTAAATTTAGGAAGTGGGAGCCACCTGCCCTTGATTTCACAAAATACCGTTTTCCTACTCCAGGAAATAGGAAACCTGTTCGTCATATTCAGGCGGACGGGTCGAGGAAAACATACACAGACGCTCGGCTACTGCTAGAGCAGAAGAAGAGTGACCGATTGTCAGAGTCGGCCTCTACTTCAAACTTCCAAGACAGTCTGCGAAATACCTCGATGAGGCATACTCAGTCGTATCATGAGAGTCAGTCAGGCGGCACCTCCCGTCAGTCCGACTTTCATAGCGACCAGGCGGTACCAAACTTACCGTTTGTACCGCAACAACAGTATTTTTTACAGCCACCTCCGTTTGGTGGACATGCAGCAAAAAATGTCCAACCTATGGACTGGCAGCTACGGTTGCTTAGACTTGGTGAACAGCCGTCGGCCTTCTCCAAGGAAATTACTGAAGCCGCTCAGCCGGCCAAAGTGAAAAATGTATTAGTAGGCGCCTATGACGGCACTACTAACCCAGAAGACCATCTGATGGCATTCACCAACCTGATGTACCTTCAAGGGTTGGATGATCCCACTTGGTGCAAGTGTTTCCCAGCGACTCTCAAAGGAATCGCACAACAATGGTTCGGCAACCTGCCGACTGGTTGTGTAAAAAACTTCAAGACGTTTGCTTACTTATTCACCTCCAACTTCGCCATGAACTTCCCTGCGAAGAAGACAACCCTTGATTTAGGAACAATTCAGCAGGGCGAGAAGGAGGGGCTTCGTTCTTACATCAGGCGGTTTAACCTGATGAGAATACAGATTCAAGGGTTACCGGATGAAGTAGCCTATACTGACTTTTTCAGAGGTCTCAAAGACGGGCCGACCTTCAAATTTGATTTGGTCCGAAAGAGGGTGGCGACTCTTCAAGAGGCCTTGATTGAAGCGGAAGCCTATATACAGGCGACTGATCTTTGTAGTACGGTAAAACAGTCAGACGGGAAAAGGTCCGACAAAAGAGAAGGACGGCAGAAGCAGTCGTCAAACAAA